ATCCTGATACTCTCTCATCTTTTTTCCCATTTCTACCCCAGTTAAATTCTGTTGTGAAACATGTTCTGACTGTCAGGCAGTTGTGTTCTTTGCCAAGAGATTAATTAGGGGAAGCATCAAAGAAAGTAGTAATCATTCTATAATTACAACAACTGGAAAGTGAAAAGTTTTGTGAGTCAGCATTAGTGTCTGCCACCCAAGTATGATACACTGGTTTTGAAGATTTTTCACATTTGGTACAGCAGAAAAAGAAGGAGGTTTATACAGAAGAATAAGGTTCTGTGAGTTATGGTCTTAAAGTGAAACAACAGGTAGTTTGAAATAGTTTGAGTAATGATGGGAAGACATTGGAAGGGAAGCAATTGTTTACTGCTGCTCAATAAGAATATGAGAATGAATGCTTCCAATTATCAACATATGCTTTCATTTGAAAAGAGTTAAGTTTCATTTTACTAGTTGTGATAATGTTACGTAAATTAAACTGAGAAAAAAACATTGAATTAAAATAATTCGTCACTGGTGCAATTCACCTATAGCAAATACTTGCTGCTGTAACAACAAATTGGTCACTCAGGGTGGTAACACTCTCTGTATTGTTTTTTTCTTTTCAAGGGGCCTATTCTGATGGAGTTACAGACATACCGTTATCACGGGCACAGTATGAGTGACCCTGGAATAAGGTACTGTGACATTCCTTCTCAGCATTCACTGAAAACAAAGAAGTATTGATGGTCAAAATCGTAAAAGTTTTGGTTTCAATCGTTAAATCCATTGCAAAGTGCATAGAAAGGTTATGATGAAATTGCTACGAGCAGTCTGATTGCTGCTTATCAACTCATCTCATTGCTCAGTTGATAATCCATGGCCATGTAACATACTTGTTTTACTTGCGGTATTAAGAGGGTTAGTTCTAGAATGAGCACAAAGTCAGTTAAACTTCTGTACTTTCTATTAATGAATTCTGCTTTCAGTGTGACTTTATGGTGTGTTCTAATTAAGCATTGACTGAAAAGCAGCATGCTTTTCCAGGGTTTTTAGAGTATTTAAAGCTAAAATTACAGGAACAGTTTGGACTGTCAAGTGGAACACTCATTAAAATTACAAATACACAGGTGCCAAAAAGACTGGGGCATCATGCCAGCTGACAAATCTGAATTTATCTATGTGAAGGAGAGGTGTATCCCAATGCTTCGTTGGGAACTTGCAGTGAATTGGAAGCAGACAGCAAGTCAGGTAGGCTCCCCTTAGGGGAGATGGGTAGGAGGAAATATGGCCCCTCGTAGTAACTGTCTGAGGCTGGAGTTGCTCCTCTTTCGCTGCCTACATTATACTCAAGGCTGGAGCTACTTCAGCTCGGTTGCTGCTTACAGATCTAAGAAGTGTTCTAGGTGTAGCTGTGCCAGCTTTTGAGTGATGAATGGTGCTGTATTTTCATTGCATTCCCGACAATTCTTTGGTTCACTCTTTTTTTCTAAAAGTGAGTTGGGTCCAGAACCTCACTGCTATTCAAGGACACCACTGAAGAAGTTCATGTCTCTGCTTATCTTGCTCCTAGCTATCGTACTCGAGAAGAAATTCAAGAAGTGAGAAGCAAAAGTGATCCCATTACTTTGCTGAAGGACAGAATGGTCAACAATAATCTTGCTAGCATTGAAGAATTAAAGGTATGGCTTTTAGTTGCTATTGAAGCAAACTGTTGAGCATTCTCCCGCTAATGATCTCTGAAAAGCACATCATAGGCCATCACTTGAACTTTGAAGAACATTTTAACATCAATTTTATTGGTGTGGTGAAGTGTTGTTGCAGACCGACTAATGCAGTTGCACTCTTCTGGAAAGGCCTTTTGCTTTTGGGTGCTGAGTGTAACTTGGCACTGTAAGGCTGTGTGTATGGGTGTTAGCGCTTCAAATGCAGCTCTTGTCATATATTAACATGTAGAAATCAAAATTGCCCGGGCTTTCGTGACTACCTAGGAAGGAAGTCTGAAAGGGAAATTATCAATAGTGAAAAGTCCTAGTGAAGGAGCCAGGAACCCTCTAAGCAAATGTTGTAAATACTTTCATCAGCTCGGTTTTAAAACAATTGACATTGACCCTCTCAGTGTTTTGCAGAATCAGAATTGAAAATGTAGCAGCTCAGTGGGATCATTTTTCTCTGGCAGTGGGTTGCCTGTCTATCCAAAAGGGACAAATGCTGCAGTGTAGTAGGAAGTTGTTACAGGTTTTTACTTCATAGACAGTGTTAACAATAATTCTGCCCAATACTTAATCATTGAGTTTAAATTCAAAATTATGCTGCTTTTTCTGAGCTGTCTTCTAATAAGCATCCATTTTTGGTTTAGGAAATTGATGTGGCTGTACGGAAGGAGATCGAGGAAGCTGCTCAGTTTGCTACCACTGACCCAGAGCCACCACTGGAAGAACTAGGTAACCACATCTACTTCAATGAGCCACCCTTCGAAGTGCGTGGCCCAAATCAGTGGATAAGGTACAAGTCTGTCAGCTAAAGGCCTTTTTTGTTGGCGTAACTTATTCTTATGAATAAGTGAATACATTTACAGGAACTATAATGATGCAGAAACAACTTTTAAGCTTATTTAAAAGCTCTTTCAAAAGAGGAAATGTGTGGGGAAAATCCATCTCAGTATGGACTTTCTTAAACATGCTGAATGTTGTTGCAGAAGGAGCTAAATTAAGACAAAGCAGTGGTTTATTTAAATTGCTATATATTTGCTTTACTGACTTTTCTTTGGATTGCTGTATGTGTTATGTACAGTGTTTAAAAAAAAATTAAATTTAACAACATTTGTCTGGTGGTCTGTTTGCTTTGTTCCTTGATGAACTGCTTTCAAAAAAAACCAAAACACCCAAAAAAGCTATTTAGATGCTACATTTTTGCTGCAGAAGAGTTACTAAATGAAAACATCATGCCAGGCTTTTCTTCATAGTTCAGTGAGAGTAGCTTTAATACAAAAAGCTATATACATTCATCTATGAAGAGGTGATGTATGCTTTAGCATATCCCCTCCCTGCTCAAGCCATCAGCCAGCAGAACTGTAACACGTTTTAAGTTCAGAGTTTTCACAATGCTAAAGCCCATCCAGGTGTGCAGTACCTGGTTGCAGAAGAAGTTGTTGGGTTTTTTTTTTTTCTCAGCTAATGCTTTTTGTTACATTGATAGGCATTTGACTTCTGCATTACTCTCATAAATAATTTTAAGTGCATTGACAGACTTAAAAGCTGTTACTGAATATTCACTGTGTATTACACTGATGGTGAAACAAGCTACATAATTGTGCAAAACCTGCAAGGCCACTGTACATACATATATACATCTAATAATTTAAGTGTTAGGAATGTATTTTTCATTTGCTTAATCCCATTGCACCTTCTCCTTAGGAAGCTTCAATCTTTTTGCACTGAGGTCTTACCAGATGTTTGTCTGTGGTTTAATATTGCATTCCAAATTCTGCAGAGAAGACCACCCCTGGATGAAGAAGAACAGAGAACAGTTTAGGGGAAACTCCTTCATCTCTATTACTTTAAAGCGAGCAAGAAGTAAAATCTAGAAATCCCAAGGATATACCAATTATGACAGTACATAGAAAACACTACACTACTTTAAGGTTATGGTTAAAACAACTTCTTCCAGGTCAGCCAGGAGTTAACAGAATGATGATGAAAGGACTTGAATCAACAGGTATGAAAAATAAGTTCTTTATGCCTATTTTCCATATGATTACCTCATCCTGACTGGTGCAGAAACAGCTCCCAACCCTGATAAATGCCAAAACAGATGGCTTGAAGCACCCCAGGTATAGTTGTTAGGCTGCGGCAGTGAGGATGTGAAAAACTAACAGAAAATCAGAGATGAAATTCACAGTAGTTGCCACAGAACTATCACTGACCTAAACTTTCTAAAAAAGTTTTTTTTACAAATGACATTAATTAAGCTCTTAACAATGAACTAAGTAGTACTTTCTTACCGCAGTTGAAGGTACCGCAGATCATCTTTAGTGATATCATTAAGGACAGCACTTAGTGTGTAATCTTCTTCAGCAAACTAAAAGGCAAATATATTCCTAAATTAATATTTCTTCTTTGAAACCAAGCTGCTAACTATGACTACAGTGACCCTTTTTTTAAAAGGTGATTCTTTTTTTTTTTGCTTTCAATTTTTTTTACCCTCTTAATTGCATCCAAATCTGCTCCTTGTTGTTTCAGCCAGTTCATGAGCTCAGGGTCTGCATTCTCTCTAAGAGTTGCTGCAGACCAGTGGGAGTCTTTAACAGAAAACAAAAGTACAGGTTAATACACCTCAAAACTAGGGCAAAAGGGATGGTCTTCAGACTACTGACGCTTAAAATAGACGGTTTTTTAAGTTACCCTGAGCCAAATCAGATAATCAAACATACAAGCCAATACTGCATACTTTGACAGTTGCACAGACATTTATCTCCTCATACCTTCGGGTTTAAGTTTTAATCGAAGCAAGTGTAATTCCTGAGTTTTTTGCTCCAAAGATTGTCGTAGGAGGGTCTGATACTCTTTCTCCTTCTGAACTAGGTTTTCCAAAAGCCTGTTAACATATGAGATCAAACACAACCTTACTAAGAATTAGCTGAAAAAAATAGTCATTTTTTTTAACAACTACCAAAGGACAGAGACTTGAGAGATACTCTCTTAAGTAACATTTTATGGCTTACAGATTTCATTTTGGTTGGCTGAGACTCAATGTAGTGGTGGCATTTTAAGGCTTTCATCTTTGCAGAATTTAGTAAGTAGCCTGTAAATTCTGTTCCTATTGTTTTGCAGCCTCCCTGGGCAGAGCTGCTGTCTTTATACTGTAACTAACTTACTGCTGAACAGTGTAACACCGATGTTTTACCAGGGACTTTCTGATCACAGATTTACATCACATCCCTGCAGAAGAATGGCACACTCAGATGTTATAACACACTTGCAGCAGCCTACAAATGTAATTCATGAGAAATAGTGCAGGGGCTCTGCTGAACTCTGCTTGTGCTAATTAGTGGGCAGCCTGTCCAGAGCTGCTCTGGCCCTTCCTTGCAGGAACAGTTTTGAGGACACTGCCACTGGATCAAGTGGCATCCAAGGAGCTAAGGAAGTAAGAAGGAAACTGGCACATTTGCACAAGCCAAATTACTTAACAGCTGAAATCCAACATGATGTTCTGTAATTAAAAAATGGATTACACAAAGTTGTGCTGAAGGCTGGTGAGTTGTCATACTGGTGCTGCAAGTGCATTCTGAATCCATTTGTGTTCCTGGAAGGTCTGCTTTATCACAAGGCAGTAACAGTAGGTGAGCAGTATTTATGTTATGTACGTACATATCACCGTAGAAAGCAATGGCTGGGAGCTTTTCAAAGATTTGCCTGAAAATAAATCCCCAGTCTCTATAGAAGGGTTACCTTAGGGTCTCTTGTTTAAGTCTGCCCAACTCCAGGCTGAGCTGCTGCTGAGCCTCATGTGACACCACAGAACTAAGGGTGCTGACTCCTGATGTGAGGGCAGCATCCTCAGCCCCATTTTGCTCAGTGGGCTGGTAACTGTCCTCCACTTCATCACCATCCTTGTCCCCACCTTCAGTTTCTGATGCTGGCTCAAAGTGAGCTCGGAGCTCTGGTAAAAGGAAACAGGGTAAGAATAATTTTTTTATTTTTTTTTTACAAGTCTGTCTTCAGAGGTACTATAGTTCGTTCTTTAGAACTGTGAGTGGGGGAGCTTCAGCTGCAGAAGTGTACTGTGTGCATGACGTGCTCTATTGCACTACTGAGCAGAGGAGTAGCAAAGCCTTACGCACAGATTCTCTGGCATCAATTCTAAAATGAGGGGTGCTGTAATAGCTCAGCTGTAGCGTACCAGTAGAGGTAGGTAGCTGTAGATTACAGCTGTAGAGGGGACAAATACAAATTCATTATCATTTGTGATGAAACGAATAAGACAGACAACAGCTAATAAAATGTATTAATGAAAAACCCTTGAAAGCTTGCTTTTTTTTAAAAAAGAAAAAAACAAGTTGTTTTCCCCTAATGCCCTCGACCAACGAGTTTACAAAGCCCTCCTCTTCTCTGGGTAGCATTTCTAACCCCAGTTCTCTCAGACCTTGCTCCAGGTGGCCACCCTACCCACCAAAGAATAGCTGCCATTTATCTCCTACAGAGTCCTAAAAAATTTGGCCAATTTGGTTTAAAAGCCATAGCAACTTTGGACTGAAAGGGCTCACCATCACTAAGTGCTCTCAGAACATTCTCATACTGGAAGGGGTGCTCAGCACTCCAAAGAGTTACAAAACTACTTGCAAATTTCCAACTTAGACTTATTCCTAGACAGTTTAGTCATTTATCCTCTGCCTTCTCAGTGGTGGTGCTTTTTCCTACTATCCATCTCTGCCTAAATCATGCTCTTCCTCATATTAATGCACTCCCTTCTCTGCATCTGTTCCACAGCTCAGTCATCATTGTTCACAACACATAACCAGGCCTGTGCAGTGTTACCCGCCCTGGCTGTCATTAAATGTTGTAGAGAGTCATTTTCTTTCTAACTAGAAAAGCTCCAGCTTGGACTGAATTTTATTTGCCTTTTTTTTTTGTCATGGTTGGACCACACTGATGGTGCAGAACCACTGGTTATCTCCTCATTATGTACTTTTGTACTGCCAGTACAGCAGTAATCCTCCAGATCAACACTTCTTTCTGCACAGAATTCTGACCCTGTGCCTTTGATGTAGTGGCACACGGGATGCAGTTAATGGCACACTGACAGATTAAACCTCTCAATTGTTCCATTTGCTATAATTCTTGGACATGCAAACAGCCTTTTTTT